CGAGAGGCCCCCCGGATCGCCCCCAGACGACCCGGGAGGGCTCCGCAAGGGACCCGAACGGGCCCAAGAAAGCCCCAAGACGGCCCATGACGCTTCCAAGACGGCCCAAGAGGCCCCGAAGGCGGCTCTAACAAGGCGCCCAGACGAGGGGCCATAACGGACATTTCGAGCCCTCGGCTCCGAGAGGCCCCCAGGGAACACCTACGAGGGCCCCGGGGGGCGCCCCGAGAGGCCCCCCCGAGAAGCCCCCAAACTATCCCCCTGAATCCCCCGAGAGCGTTTCGAACAGACCCCAAGAAGCATCCGTGAGGGCCCTGGGCCACGTCAGCGTCGTCGCTGTCGTCGCCGCCGCTGCCGTCGTCGTCGCCCCAATCGGGGCAGGCGGCGCCGACCGCGAGCCCCTCGAAGCGTCGCGCGCTGCCGAGCCGCTGGAAGAAAGAAAGACACACTCACGACGACATCCCTGTTTGGGGCCAAACAAGCCCGGGCGCAAGAGGAGGGCCAGGGGGGCAATCGCAGAACACCGAGCCCTTTCCGAACCCCCGACGCCAGCGACCTGACTGAAGTTGGGGGGCGAGAGCGACCAGAGACCAACGCAGGGGAGCGCGGGGGCGATCAGGGATGCCAAGCGGGGTCAGGAGACGAGCCTCGGGGAGGAAACGCTCGCGCAAGAAGCCCCCATTCCATGTCGGGGCGAGCGCCTCCATGCCCAATCGCCCGCAGAGCAAATATTTCAGCGCAAGGAGCGAAGGGGTTTGAGGAAGGGGGTCAGGCAGACGACTTCGCAAGGGGCCTTATATTTCGCTTTCAGCACAAAGCAAGGGGCGGCTCGCCTGATCTTTACCCAACGTGCGCGAATGCAGACAGAGCTCGGCGCGTGACCTGGCAACTCACGTCGCGCCGCGCTGCCGGCGAGCACCGATGGCGCAACCCTTTGCGGGCGAGCGGGCGGGTCAGTTGCGTGGGGGGCCAGAAAGCGACCGCGCCCCTGCGTCCTCTAGCGCGCGCCCATTTCTACTGGGCGCGCGCGCCGCTGAGCCGCAGCGCCCAGAATGGCGGTCGCGCCGGCAAGGGCCAGGGGCCCTGCTGCCCGCCGCCCGGGCAGCCCGAGGCGCAGGGGGGGCGCCAGACAGGCGGAGCTGCGGATGCCTCAGCCGCGGGGCTGGCCGCAGCATTGGTCCGGGGGGGGCGGGAGGGCGCAAGCTGCGGCCGGAGAGGGGGCGGGGGCCCGGCGCGTCGAGCCGCGTCCTCCTCGCGCGCCCTTTGATTTATACTGGGCGCGCGCGCCGCTGAGCCGCGTGGCCCGGGAGGGCGGTTGCGCCGGCGGGGGCCCAAGGCCCTGCCGGCCGCCGCCGGGGCAGCCCGAAGCGCAAGGGGGGCGCTGGGCGGGCAGGGCGGCGGGCGCCTCAAGGCGGGGTCAGCCGCGGGGCGGGCCGCAGCATCAGTCCACAATCGCGCAATGAGGGAGATGGGCCACGCAGGCCCATCGCGACTCAGCAAGACCAGCTGCGCCGAGCTAGGAGATCGGACGAGCGGCGCAGCAGCCAAGGCGCCGCTGAAAACGTGAATTTCGCCCCGTGCAGAATCAAAACGGCTGGCAAAAATCGCAAGGGCGGCGCATTCTTGGCTGCAGCATTCAAGCGCGCGGGGCGAGCCCCGGCGCCCCGGCCAGCGGGGCGCCATGCCCGGCGCGCAATGCAAGGCGGCGCCCCCCGCGCGCAGGGGGGCGAGAGCAACCCCGGGGCCGTCGCCGAAGGGAGCGCCAAACCGCCGCGCGAGGAGTCGAACCGAAAGGGCAAGCCGGAGGCGGAGCCATCAAATATGCAAGACGAGCACGCCGAAGCTGCCGAGGCGCGAAATGCAGCGCAAAGAGACGCGATCAACGGGTCTGTGACCTTGACGCGCCCCCGCCGGGCGGCGCGCTTCCTGTTCTTCGGCGCTCGGATCTGCGCGAGGACGAGGCCTGGGGCGTCAAGCTCCGCTGGGGTGAGCGGGTCGAGCCAGCGGAGGGCAAGCATCTCGCTGGGCCGCAACATCCCCGAACAAAAAACAAAAAGAAGCAGCGAAACGTCTAGCCATCCCCGCGTCGAGGCGAGAGCGACGATCGCACGAAACAGCAATGGGCACGGGGCGCGATTGTGGACAGGACTCAAGACTGACGCGGCGCAAGCCCGCCGGGCACGCTGTGGCGGCGAGAGGCGACCGAACGCTTGCGAGGTCGACGCGCAGGCGCACCTCGAAAGGAAAACGCTGGGCCCCTGCGCCAACGACCTGCGCGGGGCACGCGCCCATCGACATTGCGGTCCGCACCGGCATAGATCGACGGGTTGACGCTCGCCCTTCTGATCCCGATCCACACTCGTCGGTTTTCAGGGCCCCGGCGTCACCGCCGAGCTTCTCTGTCCCATTCAGATGCGCCACCGTGCCGCGCTCGCCAGCCGCCGCGGTCTCCGCCGTGACCCACTCCGCCGACACGCGCGGCGAACGGCACAGGGGCCGCAGCGGTGGGCAAGGCCGCGCCTGCGCCAGCGACAACGCCTCTGGGCCCCGCAGCGGCGGCCCCGGGCTGCGGGGCAGCGGCCGCGGCCGCCAGGGCGGCTGACGCGCCAAGCGCGGGGCCGCGCCCGGGCGCGATGCCGACGAGGCCCGCGGCGGCCACGGAGGGCCCACCAACGGGCGCGGCGGGCGCCAGCGCCCCGGCAGAGGCGGCGCCCACGGTGAAGTTGCAAGTCACCAGGGCCCGCGTGGCAGGCAGCACCGCCGCCCGGCCAGCAGCCGCCTCCCGCGCCAGGTACGTCTCGTCGGCGACCTGGACCAGCGTCGCCTGGATAGCCCGCTCTTCCGCCGCAGTCAGGCTCCTTCTGAACCCGTAGCAATGCGAGCGGGGTCGAGTTGGACCAAACCGAGCGGCCAGGATATCTGAGCTGTTGCGGCAGTAGTCCTCCTCATACACATCATGATCGGTCGTGCTACTGATCATCATCAGACCCGGCAGTGGACCCCTGGCGTATCCGCCAGCTGGCTCCAGGCCTGGCGTTGGCGCCACCGCCGCTCGCCGACGTATAACACCCACGCCCATGCCTGCACGTCCTGGGGCGGAGCTGACATCGGCTAAGGTGGTCAGGGCATGCGGCCGACGCGGGCGAAGAGCCTAAGCAGAGCGGCAGCACTTGATCACCAGCACGCGCACCACCTGAACCCTATCAGCACCAGGTTCACCAGCAGCAGGACCAGTTCGGCCAGCCAGCGGCCCCAAGGCACCCCTGCGACCGACGGTCTCGTGGTCTCGTGGTCGCCCGTCGAATCTGACGCCTCAGCCGCGGGCGCCAGCGTCGACACCTCCTGGGACGTCGGCGGATGTGGCACGCTGGGCGCCAGAGCCTCGGCCACGATCCGAAGGGAGGACAGTGCCGGCTCTGGCGCAAATGCTCCGACCCGCCGGCCTGCAAGGGTTACGCGGGCATCGGGCACTGGGAACTCGGGCACGCAGGACAGCTCGAGCTAGAGTACGTAGGGCACGCAGCGCTCGGGCACCCAGGACGCTGGGGGACACGGGTGGCTTCGCCGCCAGTATGCAGTCAGGAGCTGAACGACGGTGCCGAATATCCAAGCCGCAGCACGTGACCCAGACCTTTCGGTCACCCTGTAAAAGTTTGAGCATACACGAAGAGGGCCCAACGAGGCTCCAAGAGGCCTCCCGAGAGAGCCCAAAGAGGCCAAACATCATGGATTTTAAGAACGCGTTTAAAGGGTTTGGGCCTTCTCGCATTTTCGGCTTTCCAACGCTCCAAGACAGCTCAAGATGCTCCCCGGACCGGCCCAAGACAGCCCAAGACGCCTCCAAGAAGGCCCCACGACGGCCCAATAGGGTTCCAATGGCCCAAGAAGCGTTCAAGACGGCCCAAGGGGGCCCAAGACGGCCCCAAGAGGGGTCCAAGCGCCCAAGCAGGGGACCACGAACCGAACATTCGATATTGTGCCCCGAGAAATCCTCGAGAGGCCGTCGAAAGCCCCAAGAGGCGCCCAAAACGCGCCCAAGCGGCCTCCAAGAAGCCCAAAAGATACCCCACGAGGCCCCAAGAGGCGCCCAAACAGCCTCCAAGAGGCCCCCGAGAGGCTCCCCGCGACACCCCAACACACATACAAGAGGCCTCAGACCACAACCCAGGCACGATGCCGGGATGGGCCGAAGGCCACTAGGATAACGCCAACGTCCCAATATGCGCTGATGATTCCTATCCGCCCCCGCATGATGTTCCCAGGTGCGCCAAGGCAGCGCCGAGACGCACCGACGAGACTCTGATATATCCTATTCTGATAGAGAGGGGGCCGGCGGCAGGGGGCGAAGCCCTTACGGATAAACTGTCAGAGGTCCGCAAGGACTGGACCCCCCTCCCTGGGCGGCGCCGGAGGCGCCGCCAGGGGGGTCCAGGACCGATCTAAGAAATTCGCGGGGATCTTCGCAAGAGAATGTCTGTGTCGATATAGTTTGCGATGTTCTTGGATGACAGAGGCGACCGTGGACGCAGACGACGACGATGATGACGACGACGACGACGACGACGACGACGGAGGTTAGTGGGGGGGGGGGGGGGGGGGCGAATCAACGCACGTTTCCGAATTCCCCAAGCGCCTCCCAGCGACGGGCGGAGCCAATGCAATGAGTAAAGGAGAACCCGTTGGGGCTGAAACCAGCTGCACGCAGCAGAATTCCTCGACCCCCACTCTACTATCCCCTCCTTTCTCGGGGGTCCCCAAACGGTGTGTTGACAGACCGAGTGGTGACCTCGAGTCCCAAAAGACCTTACAGCACGGTCCGTCACCGCTCCGATTCGAGCCCCTGGAGGCCCCAATCGCCCGAGACTTCATCGGAAAACGACCCGATCCCCAATACCGCGCGGTGGCCCTGAATTCCCACTGACTCACCGCACGGTGAGGTCACCGCACCGTATGGGAGCCCCCGACTTTCGCCCGACCAGAGGTGACGACGACGGTCGCTCCTCAGCCCAAGGGGGCCAAAAGCGGGCGGCAGGAGTGCATCGGGCCCCCCCGCCCGCTAAGGGGCTGCCGCCCGGCAAAAGCCTCGGGCCTTGCTCGCCGAAGAGGTGGCAGCGAGCGGCGGGCAACGAGGCTCGGCGGCGCGCCAGGGGGAGCGGGCGGAAGGACGGAAGGAAGAAACGAGGAGGAGGGAGGAGGAGGATGAGGACAGTCGCGCGCCCGAAGGATTCGAGCGGCAGCCAGCGCCGTGCCCCGCCCTCAGGAGGGCGCCCGCATCCCCGTACCAGGTGACGCACGTCCACTTTTACATCCCATTTACATTCACCTTTTACGTGTAAATTCCTTCCACTCAGGGCTCACGTTACCTCGACGTCAAGATCGGCGCGCTCATCATCACCACCACGACCCTCACCTGGGAACCCTCGTGGCAAAGACGCGAACGCCGACAACGAGTAGCAGCACGCACTCTACTCAGGGTCGCAGCCGCATGCGAACTCCTCGACGCTCATCACAGCGCACCACAACTACCACGGCATCCACCACAAGCTCTCGCAAAGGCAACATCATGGAATCAAACGCAAGTGGATCGGGAACTACGCCACCACCATGGAGGTCGACATCGAGCCGCCCTCGCAGGAAATGAACCGCACCGAGACCTACACCCGAGATCGGGGCAGGGCTCGAACGTTGGAAGAACTACAACTGGATTGACCAGTGGGCCAAGGACCACCCCGACGCCTACTAAAACCAGAACTACGGCGGGAATGGCACCAACGCCAGCTGCAAGGGAAACGCAACCAAGGACGACCACGAGCCAGACAACTGGGGCCAGAAAGGGAAGCACAGGACCAACAAGGGTAAGGGGAAGGCGAAGGCCCAGCCGGGGCCTCATGAGACGCCCAAGAAGGAGGAGACAAACCAAGACTACAACGACTACATCACAAACACAGTATCACCAACGTCATGCCGATGAGGAAGATATGCGCCACTAGGAGGCATGACTGGGAATCGACCCCAAGCTCAGAGAAGAGCGGAAACATATCAATCACATCGAGCAGAGGCGTGCCGCCGCAGCTATCGCCAAGAACAGCGCAGCCGGCCTACCCACGTCTGAACCAGTCACGCAGATCGCCTGCAGCAAAGCAATGATCCTAAACAGGATGCCCTTAGCCCAACAGGCAAAGGAACATCGACAACACCAAGAGGACCATGGAGGATTTTCACGAGCCCACCAAAGCCCACCAGCAACAGATACAGATCGGCATGAAGAAGCTGGAGATCAAAATTGAGAAGCTCAATGTCTTGCAGCGGGACATCGGCAACGCAAGGGACGACAACTACAGCGAAACAGGAGCTGCCTTTAAGCCGACAAACCATAAAAAGAAGCGTCGTCAAAGAGGACACCCACGCCCGCAACGCGGAGACAAACAACGGCTGAAGAAACTACCAATGGACAGGACATCAGCACGCTACTTAGGACGCTCAAGGAGGACAACCACCGCATGGCGCAGAAATCAGAAAGAATAAGGATGAGACCACCAACGGGATCACCTCCTTCAGAAGCACCTCCAAGCAGTAGAAGAAGCAGCCCACGAACATGCTGAAAACCAGCCCAGCGAGGCAGCAAAAGCCAAGCACTACCACACCGAGCTCATGTACGAGACCCACGACACCAAGCTAACCACCGACAAGATGGCGGTGTATCAAAATATTCTACAGGAGGAAGGTAGGCAACACTCAAGCGGACAGAGGAGGAGCTCCGCGCTGTAAGGACAACACCAGTCCAGCGAGATGACCGACAAATAGCAGAGGGAGCTCAGAGAAGCACAACAAAGACCCATCGACAACAACAAGGACCGCGCCATCATGGAGCAGCAACTGCTGGAAGCGTAAAGGAATGTGGCAGAAAACACGATGCAGGAACACAACATCAACATTACCAGCCTCAGCTAGAGGACCGAGGAGGAAGCCAGAATGCAGAAGGCGCATGAGGAGCTACAAGTACACTTGAGGACCATGTAATCAACGACGTGTGGTATACGCAACGAATCCCAGCAGCTTGTCTACAGCATCGGGAGCAAGGTCAGAGAACTCTGCGCGCTGCCTGCACAGCTGGGGCTACGCCTACGGCGAGGAGGAGGACGCGTGCGGAGAAACGGGAAGGCACGCGGAGGAGGCGGCGAGAGCGCGGCAGCGGCGAGGCAGATGAGAAGGGTGAGGAGGGATGGGACTGTCAACGGCGAAGCAGAAGCAGAAACAACATAATACTGGCATACATGAGGTAACTTGACATAGCGTTGCTACTAATCACAATAAATCTTTGACACATATAGTAATCCTAATACTGGTAGTATAATACCAATAGCAATGATAATAATCGCAATGAAAACCAACAATGTCAATGCTACCAAAACAAAACTGCTAGTTGTAATATAAATAGGATGGTGATGATAATGAGAACGGTGATGCTAATGATACAAGAGAAAAGCCCCAATTAAGTATGTGTTGGGGGCTAGAGGGGTATGGGGCTACTGGGCTTTAGGGCGATGGGGCTATAGGACTATGAAACTATAGGGCTACAGGGCTACAGGGCTATAGGTCTATAGGGCTATAGGGCCATAGGGCTATGAGTCTATAGGGCTCTGAGACTATGGAGCAATATGACCATCGGGCTATATGGCTATAGGGATATAGGGCTATGGGGCTATAGACATACACACCTATACCTCTCTCTCTATAGATATACAGCTATAGGGCTATAGGGCTCTAGCGCTATAGGGCTCTAGGGCTAGGGCTAAACAACTATTGGCCTATAGGGTTATGGGGCTATAGGGCTAGAACGCTATCTATAGGGCCATATGGCTATAAGGCTATAAGGCTATAACGCTATAGGGCTATATGGCTATAAAGCACCCGGGCACCCGGGCGGGCCGCGGAAATCGGTGACTCACCTCACCTAACAATATTCGTAGAAATGATCGTAATACTCGTGATGGAATTAACAACTGTGATACTACTGACAATAACACTGCTAGTTATAAAATTAGTACTGTTGATAATGACAACGATGATGCGAATCATACATAAAACTGTGTGAGCACATCTGACAATGATCATTCTAATACTGGTGGAAATATAAAGGCAAATAAGAAACGCACCAGTTGCAGTTGTTGACAAATGGGGCCCACACAGGGCAAGGGGTGCCCTGATCGACCAGGAGCCTCTCTTGCTCCCCAACACTGAAGGCGCCAGGGTTCCCGTCGCTCTCTTTCCATGCTCCCAGAAGCAATACCGAAACTTGCTCCACTCCAAACGCCTTCTATCTAGAGGTTGCCAGATGTCTCCAGAGGCCTTCGGACTCTCTAAGAGTTCTCCGGAAGTCTCCAGGTCCTGAGATGCCTCCGGAGAACCAAAGGGGTGCAAAAACGTTAATCAACCTCGATCCTCGAGCCCTCGAGATACAGGAGCTTTATCCATTCCGAGCGCCCTCCCCCCTCGTCCTCCCTGCGCGCAAGAGGGCATCCTTCCCATAAGCTGCCGCAAGATCGGACGGCCTTCCCCCCACCCTGCCCGCTTCAACGGCACAGGCGGGGGCACCCGAGAAGCAAACCCCCCGCCTCCCCGCCAGGCTGGGAAGCTGCGTACCAGGTCAAGATATCCGCTCAAGCAGTGTGCCAAGACCCGTCTCAGGCACCGCCACCGCCCTGGCAGAGTGTGCGAGCCGCGTCCAGCGAGGGCAACGGCTGGACCCCCCGAGAGCTCACTCCGAGTCTGGGTCACCAGACCTCGCGCATCGCGCCAAGGGATGCGCGACGCGCGACTGAACCTTCGTGCGCTCGCGCCACCCCCTGGAGAAGGCCAGCTCAGCGGCCCCAGCCACGACGCGCGAAGAGCGTGGCATCTTCGCGCCCCTGGGAGAGACCACAGCACAGCTGCGAGGCAGACACGGCGCTACATTGTTGCAGACGGCTTCCACTGTTCGGGGCGCCGCCCGCGGAGCGACGCGCCGAGCCACGCCGGGTCACTTCCCCGGGGGGCCCGCCGACGCCGCGGCGGCGCCCCCGCACTCGGGCAGGTCGACGCGGGCGGGCAGCAGGTGGAACAGCTCCACCTGCGCGAGGAGCTCGGGCAGCTCCCGCAGCCCCCTCGGCCCGGCGGGCACGGCGCTGCTGCCCTGCTTGGCGGCGCGCAGAAGGGGGTGGGGGGAGAAGGCCCGCGCCTTCTAAGAAGCAGGGGTGCTTCTAAGAAGGCCTCCCCCCTCCCACCACCCCCCTCTGCGCGTGGCTGACCTGCGGGTGCGGGCCCCCGCCTGGCTCCAGCGCGCGGCTGCGCATCGGATCGGCCATGCGCCCAGCGATCATCAGCTCTCGCAGGGAGCAGCGCCAGTGACCCAGCGAGCGGGCCTCCGAGCGCTTCGTGACGTGAAGGGCTTCGAGGTACAGCTCGCGCGCTGCTGGCGCCGCCACCGCCAGCCTCAGCTGCTGGCGCCAGAGGCACTCTGGCGCATTGCAGGCAGCCTCTGGCGTCGCTGGGTGCGGCGGGGCTGGCGGCGCCTGCCGGCGCGGCGGCCGGGTCGCCTCCGCAGCGGCCGCACCGCCTCGGTTGCCCCCGGAGGGAGCGCCTCCGCCGCGGGCCCAGGTGCGCAGGCGAGCGCCGAGGCTACTTCCCAGCCTGTGGCGGATGGCCTGCTGCTGCAGCCCCGGGGTCTCCTCTGCTACCAGGTCGTCCACCAGCTGCCCGAGCCGCGCCTCCTCCCAACACGGAACGCCCAGCAGGCCCGCCAGTACGTGCACTCGAGCGTCGCGGTCCTCGGCGACCCAGTCGCTGAGGTGCTGGTGATCCGCTGCGCGGAAGTGGCGCCAGAGGTACTGGAGCCGCTCTGCCCACCGGGACGCGTCTGCTGCGATGAAGCCAGCGCCGGGCGCCTCGGCGGGGTCATGGTCGCTGCCGGACTCGTCAGAGCTGCTCTGCGGCCCTCCTTCCTCGTCCACGCCATCCGCCGCCCAACGCGAGCACTCGGCGCCCTCGAAATTGCGGGCGAGCAAGCGCTGCATCCTGCACCTCGACCTCTCCGAAGGTGGCACGCGCGAGCAGCGTGCCTGAGTCGTCTGCGCATCTGGCTCGGCCGTCGGGTCGGGGCGGCAGCCCTCGTCGACCACGAAAGCGCGCAGCAGCACGCTCTTGCCCTCGTACGCCGCCGGCACCTGGCGCAGGCTGTCCACTGTGACCACCAACAGCGAACCCAGGCCCTCGCAGAGCGCGCCCCTGCTTCGCGTCAGCGGGTGCAACGCCGCCGAGAGGAGCAGCCGCGGGCTGCCCTGCAACCCCTCCGCGCAGGGCAGTGGCCAGAGCGGCGCGTGCTGCCGGCTGCTGCGCGAGCTAACCTCCATGATCCCCAGCGTGCGCGGACCCGTGACCTGCACGTCGCTGAGCGTGTGGCGCTCGTGCAGGGTGACGGAGAGCTCCTGGTTGGCCTGCTGGTCGACCACGAGAGCGGCCCTCTCGTCCCACATGAAGTCGCCGTCGCTGCTGCGGGCCTCCCGGCTGTCCCAGATCTGGGCCCCCAATTGCAGGCGGCAATACAGAGCTCTATGCTCCGGGGCGTACCCCGTGAGGCCCTCCAGGTGGCCCTGTCCATGAGGGGCTCCCCGCACGCCAAGCACCCGACATCTGAGCAGCGCCTCCGGCCGCGCGAACTTCAGACGGTGGAGGGGCCACAGGCGCCCAAACGGCACCGCCACCCTGTTCGGCAGCACGAGCGTCCGCGATATGCCGCGCGATACAGACGCGACCAGGCCCGCCCGCACGTTCTCTGGCAGCAGCGACACGGCGCCAGACGGCGAGCTCAGTTCCATCTCTATCTGGGGTGGGTTAGCAAAGTACACGTTCAGACCTTGCATGAACGGGAGGTGCGGGACCACGTGCCGAAACGACACGAAGAGGATGCCACGGATGGAGAGCCTCTTGACGCTTACGGAAAGGGCGTTTATTCTGCTCACGACAAGCTTCAGCGTCATGTCAATGTCCTTGCCCTCGAGCTCCACGTCCAGCGCCAGGGTGATGGCCTTGTCGCGGGATGTTGGCGGCAGCACCCAGGAACGGTGCGCCTGGATCGGCTCGCTGCCCAAGGACACGCGGTCGAACTGCAGAGCGCCAGTGACCTCCCTGTGCACGACGGCCTGCACCTCGCCCCGAAGGATGTCATTCTCCACAAAGCCGCAGACGTAGGGCCACAGCTCCGCAAGGATCTTATTGAAGAAGGCAGGGTCGTCCGCAGGCATCGCTGCGAGCGGCACCACGGGCTGCAACAGGCGAGACGTCAGGCGCCGGAGCTCGTGGACAAGATCCTCGCGGCCCTGCTGCGCGGGTGGCGGAGTGAGCTGCCGGCCCAGCCTCGCCTCGGTCCGCAGGCCCATGCGGCCCTCGGGCAGCTCGCCGAGTCCACCGCCGCCGCGCACCCGCGGAAGCCTGGAGCAGAGGCCCGCGGCCACCAGCGGGCCTAGCCCGCCCAGCGCCCAGCTGGATCTGCAGAGCTCTGCACAGGCCCTGTCGGCTGCGAGCACCGCCAGGGCGAGGCCGGCGGCGACATGCTGGCTCGAGAGCCCGCGGCTGCACGCACCCACTGCGCCGCCAGCCAGGGGCACTGCAGCAAGCAGCAGCTGCCGCAACGCAGCCTCATGGGCAGCCACGCCCTCGCCCCCAGCCTCTCGCACTGGCAGTAGCAGCATACCGACGCCGAGCACGGCACTGATCAGCTGCAGAGCCCGCACCTCATCCCAGCCAGCCACGTAGCACGCCAGTCCTGCTACCGCTGGCGACAGGGCCGCCTGCGGAGCCATCGCGCCTGCGGCGCCGAGCGGCCACGGCCCCCCCAAACGCCGGGCTGCGCAAGCGAGACCTGACAGTGCCACGGCCAGGCGCCAGAACCAGGCAGCCCTTGCTGCCATAGCGGACGGCAACAGCCGCCTGCCGTTGCGTGTCGGCAGTGCGGCCGCCACAGGCTCGAGGAGCAGCTGGGCTACCAACTGCGCGGCCGCCGCCGGCAGCCGGCCGTCCGCAAGCGGGCACCTCCGCCTGGCCGCCGCGCCTCCGGCGAGCCCCGCAGAGAGCGCAAGGCCCAGGCCCAGGCCGCCGCGGCCAGGCCCCCTGCCGACCGCCAGCTGCCGCAGGTGGGGCAGGAAAGCCAGGCCAGCTCCGGCGTAGGCCAGTGCCTGGCAGGCGCCGCGGGCGCCCTCCTCGCGGGGATCACTGCATGGGCCGGCCAGGGCAAGGCTCAAGAGACAGCCTCCGATCAGCCCGCTGGCGCACCAGAAGCGCAGGGGCAGGGCCGCGGCCGCGAGGCAGCCCGCGAGCAGGGGCGCGAGGATCTGCACCCCGTCCTCGCCCTCGCAGGGCGCCTCGCCCGATGCCTCCGCGAGCGCCAGGCAGTAGCCCCCCGCGCCCAGGGACAGCGCCGCAGCCGCAGGCGCACGGCCATCGGCCAGCGTCCACGCCGCCCGGCGCACGCATGCACGCACACGTCTGCAGGCCCCGCGCGGCTGCGGGAGACCGAGGATGGACTCCGTGGGCGTGGGCGTCAGCGGCTCGTCGCCCTCCAGCGCATCGAAGTACACCGACGATCTCTGCGACAACGACCCGGACGAGCGCTGCCGCGCGGAGAGCCAGCCGCCCGGCGAGCGGGGCTCCACGGCGGAATCCTGGAGGCGCCCCAAGCGCCCCTGTGACGGTGGGCGCCAAAGTTCATCCAGGTCCGCGTGCTCGAGGTCCTGAAAATGCGCGACGCCCGCGGGCGGGGACCGGAGCTCCATGCGGCTGCTCCAGCACGCTGGCTCGCCCTCGAGCCCAATCAGCTAGAGTGCACATGGCTTGAAGCACACGTGCAGATTACCTGCATCGAGCGGATGACACTGCAGCTTTTTGGGCAACCTAGCTCCATCTCCTGCTGACGATGCCCAACGCGGCAACGCGGTGAGACCAGCGGCTAGCGGCTAGCGATTGAGAGCCCTGCTGGACTCTGCCGAGGCTCAGTGCTCGACGAGGCTCGCTACTATCGGGGAAAGCAAGGTGGCGCGCCTGAGCAGGCGGGGCGAGGGAGTCCCCTCTGAGAGCCCAGATTTCCGACGCCGCTGTTTTTAACCAACGTGGACCAAGGAGGTCTCGGCCCCTTCCCGGGGACCACCTTGTCGTCCTGAGTCGGTTTCTAACAATTTCCTTCCGTGATTTGTTCACGACGCGAGGAGATCTTGGAAGGCAGGTTAGGATGCTGCGCCGACAGAGGGGCTCAGCGGCTCCAAAACGCGGGCTTCTCAGAAGGCGTGAGGGCTCTTCGATACCCACCTGCCTTCTCAGAAGGCCGCCCCTCACCCGCCGCCGCCCCCGACTAAAATTCGCCGGACCCCGTCTTGGCCGATGCTTCGAGATGCGTCCGGCCGTGGCCACGGGGCGCTCCCAAGGAGGCGCAAAAACCTCCCAGACGGCGTCGTCAACGACTCCGCACGCCTCCTTTCCCGCCCCACTTCTGCGCGGCTTCGAAGACCAGCAGAGGCTGGGAGGCGGCAGCTACGATGCATCACCGTCCCCATTCGCCTAGGCGGCGCCCTGGCCCCCGCGGACGGGGGCCATCCCAGCCAAGGCCAGGACGGCCTCTTCTCGGCGGCGAGCGATGGGGGAAGTGAGAAGGAGCAGGCCCTCTCAGAAGGGGGCGGGGCTTCTCAGAAGCCCTCCGGTCTTCTGATGCGTCGTCCGGGGAAGTCTGAGACAGCTTCTCTGAAGACGTCCGAGCCTTCTGAGAAGGCCCCGCCCCTTCTCACTTCCGCCCTGGGCTCGCCGCCGATCTTCGCTGGGGGGGTAGCCTGTGCACCAGTCCACGGCACATACCTGGTCAGGGCTGCGGGTGGTTGGGGGGCAATTCCAGGGATATCTTCGTGGCCCAATGAGGGGGCTATCAAGGCAGGCACCAGGCTCAGCTGGATTAGGCCAGATGAAATCCGATCAGGCCAGATGAGCTAGACCCAAGAAAATACCGTCACTAGCAAAGATGCTGAAATCCGCCGATCTCTTGGGGTTCCATCGGCGTGTGGAATGCTTCCTCCTCCCCAAACCCCTCCCCAAACCCCTCCCCCGGGAGCCAGATCCGGTCGATTTGGAGGGGGGGAGGGGTCTATCCGGGGTGGCTGCTGGGGGGGGAGCGTTGCTCCAGAAATTCTGCTGAGAGGGCATCGAAGGCCTCCAAACGGGCCACGAGGGCCCCAAAAGACATCCCAGACGGTCCAAGAGGGCCCCGAGTCGCCGAAAAATCGTCTCAAAACGCCCAAGATGGCCTCCAGACGGCCCAGGATGACTCCAAGACGCCCCACACGGCTTCGAAGAGGCCTCCCAAGAAGGCCCCAAAAGGCCAACATCGGTGATTTTCCGCTGTGTTTCAACATGTTTGGCTTTTTCGCATTTTCCGGCTTCCGACGCTCGAAGGCGGCCCAAGAGGACCCCACGACCGCCACAAGACGGCCCAAGAGGCCCCCGAGAAGGCCCCAAGACGCCCCAAGAGGGCCCCAAGATGGCCCAAAAGGGCTGCAACACAGCCCAAAAGGGCACCAAAATTTGCCCAAGAAGGGCCTAAGAAAGGAACCGCAAACCGAAAATTCCAGCTTTCGCCCCACGAGGCCCCCGCGGGAGCCCACCAACGGGCCCCAAGAGGCCCCCAAGAGACCCCCAAGAGGCCCAAAAGAAGCTCCAGGAAACCCCCAAACAGCCCCCCAGAGGCATCCAAACTGCCTCGGGCAGGCCCCCGAGAGGCTTCTAACTATATCCCAACGAACATCCAAGAGGCCTCTGAACCACAACCCAGGCATGGTGGCGGGATGGACTCAAGGCCGCTGGATTTAAATACGCGCATAAGTCACGCAGCACCCAGAAGTCGCAACAGCGACTCTCCCCCAAGGGGTCGGCGGTGCGGCGTAAGCCAAATAATCCACGTCTGGAGGCGACGTGCTGAGCGGCAGCGTTTTCTGCGGAGGCGATAATGCAACGTACCCTATGTATCCAATGATTGCATAATTGCCACAGATTGCAGTGTGGTACATTATTATGTCTCCCCCCTAACCCCCCCTGGAAGCTGCGCCACAGGAACGGACCAAAGTGCCACCCCCCCTCCCGGGGCACTCCAATTGAAAGCACAATGTGCACCAGAAGGGGGGATCGGCAACATGTTTGCTTAGAAGTGGGAACTCAAAACAACATGTTAGGACCATGTTCGATCTCGTCTGCACGCGTGGCATCCAACATGTAGATTACAAACCATCAATGCACACACTCTTCGTCTTCGATCGTATCCCCTTCTGGTGGCATGTATTCATTACCTGCCACGCGTAGTTGGCGCAGCCCCAATGCATTACCTAGGGGAAGGGAAAAGGAATAGAGCGAGGAGGAAGGAGGGAGGAGGAGGGATGACTAGAAAGACCAGCAAGAAGCAGGAGGAGGAAAGAGAGAGAGAGAGAGAGAAACAAGAAAACGAGAAACAGACCCATGCGGGCGGACGGGGGGGGGCGGGCGGACCCTCACGGGCGGGTCGGCCTGGCGGGGCGTACAAGCGGCAGCGAGTGGCTACTGTGGGCCCCAGTTGGCGCGTCGGGCAGGCGGGCCACGACGGGCGGGTCGAGAGGGCGGGCCACTGAAGTCCTGATTTAATCGCAAGGAAATCGTGGTCGAGAGAGCGATCACAGGGTAAACTGTAAGGGGAACCCGAGCGAGAGCGCCAGTCCATTCCTGTGAACTGGAAGGACATGTCAACCGAGAGCGCGATTCCTTGGTAAACAGCAAGAGCCGTCCTGCGTACTCACTGAGTTCATTGTCAGCGAGTCCTGGGCGAGAACGAGATTACTGAGTCATGTGTGGACTAGCAAGCGAGAACCGCTGTCGTGGTAGTTCGGGAGCCAACAGCGTAATTAGGAGACCCAAGCTCTTCCCTTAAAAAAAGGTGCGAGCCCCGGGATGGGCAATCCAATTGAGAATCAAAAATGCACTGGAGGGGAGATCATCAATATTTATTCTTCAGGCATGAAGATTCAACAGCCACATCACCGTGCGAATAGTTGAACTTACAGGCTGATGTGGCCGTTATGTGTGTCTCACCGTCGCCTGTACCCGCCCAATAATTCTATGAATCAGCCCCCTTCTTCAGGGGCTTCTGTTAAACAATGGAATCTGTGTGCACACGTCGCCGCCATGGCCGTCATGCGAGCTGACGCGCCCGCGGGCAACTGACCAACTTGAGTGGATTGTGAGGAAGCCATGGCAGAGAGCACATTTCCTGAATGTGCGGCCCCCAGCGCACCTCATGATAAACGCTGAGGAAATATCGAGCGGAATATGGTGTCGCCTTAGCCAGGCTCCCACACATGTGAACGAATGGCGCCGGCGTATCGGGCGAGAGCGCCGTTCCTGAGTATGATAACGGTAATGACCATGGCACACGCGAGTGACTCGCGAGGACATATCGGGGGGGAGACGATGTCGTCGCATCTGGGCCTTCACCAGCCTGAGTGGATTGCGAGGACGTCTCGAGCCAGAGCGACATTCCTGAATTGGGGGGGCCTCTCTGGACAGGGGGTCATGGGATAAACTGCTAAGAAATATCGGGCGGGAACCGTTGTCGTAGCTGGGCCTACGCCAACCTGAACGGATTACGAGGAACTCTCAAGCCAAATTGCCGTTCCTGCATTGGGGAGCCTCTCTGGCCAGGGCGTCTCGGGGTAAAATGAGAAACAGTATCGAACGCGAGCCGTTGTCGTCGCAGTTGGGCCGTCACCAACCTGAGTGGATTGCAAGGGATTCTCGACCCAGAGCGCCCGCCCCGAATTGGAGGGCCTGTCTGGCCAAAGTGTCCCAGGATACACTGCGAGGAAGTATAGAGCGGGAGCCGTTGACGTCGTAGCTGGGCCTTTACCAACCTGAACGGATCGCAAGGACATCTCGAGCAAGATTGCTGTTCCAGAATTGAAAGATCTCTCTTGCCAGGGTGTCCTGGGGTAGAACGCACGAAACTTTAGAGCGGGAGCCGCCATCGCCGTAGAAGGGCCTTCACCGACCTGAGCGGATTGCAAGGTCCACAGCCAGAGCGACGTTCCTGAATTGGGGCGCCTCCCTGGCCATAGCGTCCTGGGGTACATCGCGAAGACGTGTCGAGCGGGAGCCGCTATCGTTCAACAACCGAGATTTTGAACTAATGCAGCGTTCGAGCGGGAACGTCGCTTTCAGAGAAAATGTAGCCCACGCCGAGGCGAGAGCGCCCAGAACCGTCTCCGAAGATCAACCAGCACTATGCTATGGAAATGAAGCTTCAATCACACCAAACTCTACTTTCCATCGCCCTCCGCCGACCTCGGCCGCCCCCCTGCCTCATCGATATCCAATATCCCATCGACTTCCCCAATCGCCGATCGTCGATCTCTTCCACGAATCGCACCTCGATCCTTGATCTCCCTCCTCGCTTCCCACTCACCCACCCAAGCCTTTCCTGGTCACAGCGTCGGAAAGGCCGGGGAAAATGTCGATCTGGCGGGCGGCGGGGAAAAGGATACCAATCCACTCCGCTTCTCGTCAACGTCGACATGACGCACTCCCGCGCCGTTGCTGACCTGACCTCCCACATCTGTCACCAAGGCGGCCCCGCCACACAACGCGCGGTGGAGACGCATGCCGCGGGCCCCCCTCACTGCCTCGGCACGATCTTGGCGGCCGCCTCCGGGGGCCGCGGTCGCCTGCAAGCAAAGATCGGATCGGCCGACCAGGGACCGAACCCGACCTGCTGGGCGACGCGGGAACAAATGCGACGGGCGGGCTTCAAGGAGCCGATGTCCCCATGCATGTCCACAGCCATCGGCCCAGGAACGGTGTACGCGCCCCCCTGGCTTGGCCAGGAGGCCACATACACCGCTCCTGGGGGCGGTGGATCTGTATAGATCTCGTCGCCGGACACCTGTTTCATTTTTGAAGTGCTGGCCTAAGGTGGCCCAAGCCTTTCCCCAAACCCGCGCGGCGTTCAATTTACCCCATGCCGAGAGGGTCCTGGGTATTCCGAAATGGCGCCGGAAGCTGGGGGCAGATCGGGCCAAAACCACTCCTGGCAAACCTTAAATTTCGAGCCCAAGGACTGTCACTCACCGATCTGGTTCGAAAGCATCGGCACCACGGTGGGACCGAGGCGGATATTCTGGCCGTGATTTTTCTGAAAAATGGAATGGTCGGTGATCAGGCTTTGGGTGAATATCGCTGATACAAACTCTCGTGGCTCTGGGGCCAATGGTCCTGACATGTCTTGGGCAAATATGGCAGCGGGAAACTCGGAATCGAAATCGAAGTCAGATCGTCCGCTCGCGAGAAACCTGGGCTACTCCTGGTATCATCGTACCAGTTTATAACAACAACCTGCTTGCTACGACGCCTTGAGGACCCACCAGGGGACTTCGCAAACCTGCCGCGCGGGCAGGAGATATCGCTATGGCGATATGTGGCACACCCGCTTGCGGAACAGGCTGGGTGGCCACTTCGCGCCTACGTGGCTAAGGGGGTCACCATCAGCTACACAATGTATTAAATCAGCCCACCCTCAAGACGACCAGAACGCAGGGCCGCGAAGCGAACAGACCGACAAAGCCCGAAGGGACATGAAACCACGGAACGAAGCCACAACATTTGGGTGGGCAGGGACTTACAGGCTGAACAAGATCAAGACATATGGGGAGGGTGGTCGCTATTCGCAGCAGACTCAATCAAAACACTCGCGTTTACCCTCCCCCGCCCCCTTCCCTTCGGCGGGCGCCCGGTGCGGGCACGGGCGGGAGGCGGCATCGCGACCGTAGCCGTGGGAACGGCCAACCTCACAGCATCATCAACTGAGACGACTCCGTTGTCCACCAGTGGTAGTCTATGTTAATATAAACAAAAAATCTGCACTCTCTGCAAGTGTGTAAGTCGCACTCTCCATGGCCCAGTCCTCGCGCTGCCTTCTTCCTCCCCATCAGCGAGGGCCCGCCCTCTAGCTCCTCGAGAAGTTGTCGGGCCGCTCTCTCGAGCGGCCCCCGAGGCGGAGGACCGCGCTTGAAAATCGCGTCGTGGTTCACAGGCTGACGCGCGCACATATCCTGGATCTCGATGTGTGAATTGCGCACGGCCGGGGGAATCATCGCCATCTCGCCTTTGCCCTAATTCTGCTCAGCTACATTGCGCGTCCAGTGCAACGCTTTCCCTGGCAAGTCATGGGGCTTGCACTGTTCCCCCCCTTGTGTTGCCCATGTACCAAGCCTTCAGATTGTCGCAGTCTGTCTGAGCCAGGTCCGTGCACTTCCCCAGCCCATGCAGTAGGCCCACGAACGCGTAGATGAAGGGGATGCCCAAACCCTCCTGCGCCGAAGGGTCGTCGTTGGCGGCCTCGTGATAGCATCTGCCCTGCTGGAGCGTTGCCTTGGCCGCGGGAGTGTCCCTGGCTATGGGGGGGGGGCACCCGTAGCATGCCTGTGATCTCGCGGATCCCAGCCGCGCTGGAAAGGGAGACCTTGGCGGGGGCGATGGGCAGCTTCGCGGCGGCGTTGACTTCCTCGGCGTCGTCGCCCAGGAGATCGCTGAGCAACCTGCGCGTTTTCTGGCGCGGCTCTCCTCCGTCTCCCTCTGTGCGTTTCAGCCCCCGCTTCGACGCCGTGCGACGACGGCCGGTGAAAAGACAATCGAGCGGTGGCAAGCGCGCGGGCGTGCTCCTCGAGCCGCTCGAAACTTCAAGCCCGATACCCAACGCGGGTGGCAATCGACCCGATCGGGGTGCATCCGGCCGCCGTGGTGACGCGACAAATCCACGCATCCGCCCCCGCAAGATGTAGCTACTGAGCGTATGTGCGCAATTGTGACGCAGCTAAAAGTAACCATGCAACAGGGGCACGCAGCGGTGGCGACTGCTCGCGTGCATATATCTCTGAGCCCGCGCCTTGCCATGATGTTGGGCAACTCCTTCCTGCGTGCGAAATGCGCGCTAACGCACCGCGCCCGATGCCCCCCTCAAACCACAACCCCGCGTAGCCCCATCGATTCACGGGGGGGAAGTCGAGCAGGAGTCCACCCGAGAGGCGGCACTGCGCTCATAAATACCTCGGCGCACTGCAGTAAAATCAATTATCTGGAAATCGTGTTTCATCTCGTCGTCGGTGAATAAATCCACCCAGCCCGCTCGGATTTGACTTCCCAAAACCCCGCCCTCGGCGCCCCCCACCCGCCGCCGCCCATTGCAAGGTGTCCTCCTTCGCCTGTCGGGCCCCAAAGTTCGCGTCGTTCCGCGCGTCGCGCTCCTCGATCGCCCGCGTCGCCTCGAAGGGGCAGCGGCCGAAAAGGGAGGTGAGCACCTGTCCATGTCTCCACGGATGGGCGATGATGGTCTGGATCCTCTTTAGGCGCCGCGCCCTCATATCGAGCTTCGCGGGCGCCATTCGCCAATGCCCCAGCCCTTGAACACGAATCGCACTCCTCGCGCGCGGCGCCATTGGCGCCGAGAGCGGCAGGCCACATATGATCCGGTCGACGGCACCACCCTCATTGAAGCGACAGGGGGCGCGGGCGAACGACCTAGCGCGGCGTGCGACAAGGTGCCTCTGGCAATTGCTGGATGTGCTGCAAAAGTCTGTGGGTCACATTATCTGGCGGTCTCTCGATTCTTACTGCACATGAGACGAAGTCATACACATAACAGATGCTTATGCATTAAATGCGGGGAGCTCCCGCGTCTGCCCCCGACGCCGCGCAGGCGTAATTAACGACCAGGACCCAGGCCAGACCCCCGAAACTCTTTCGGTGTCCTACAGGTCGCATCGCACGGTGCGCAGACGGGGGGCTCCTATTTCTATCGAGGCGATGCAGCACTGGCGAAATTGGTTCGATCACTCGCAAAATCAACGCCAACGACCCCAGCTTCCCGAGTGGTGAAATGGGCGCTGGGCCGACAACTCCCGCGCCTATCGAAACCTCCCAGCAACGATAGCGAACATCTTGTTTGGGGAAAGGGGCCGCCAGGGCCATCCATGCGGCGGCCGCGCCAAGGCCCCGACCCGACAGAATGACGCGAGGGCGCCCGGCGAGGCCACATGTATCGCGAGCGCCGCCGCACTCGCCAAAAAGCTCTCCACTGTGGCCAACACCCCAAGGCGCAATCTTCGTTGCCTTCCGCCACGAGGCCCCGTCGGCACATTGGTGAAAATTTTGAAAGCGGAAATCTTCAGCTCTAATAAGGGAGGGGCGAGCGGCGGCGCTAGCCACAATTTGTATATGCGAGGACTCTCCAGACCGAATGGAAAAACCGCGCCGCCTGCGTCGGCAAATGACAAAGATGGTGAACAACAAAAGGAAACGCTACCAACATGGACGTTCGGATGGTGCTCCTCTGAGAGCCCCCGCCCCCGCAGGTTCGGATGACGTTCGGAGTGCGACGCGAACAGCCCTGGGCCAAGAGGTACACGGAGCCCAAAGAAACGCAGCGAAGATGGCAGTGGAAGTAGTCCGCCCTCTGATGGCACGGTAAAAAAGCAATCCTCACATGGCCCCCCCGCGGCCCGCTCGTCCAGTCCAGCGGCAAAACAGCTCCCCCCAGCCGCCGGAAGGCGGCTGACAAGGATCCGCAGCCGCCGAACAGCTCCAGGAATCAGCGGGCCCGCAAGACGCGCCTGCTCTGTTCGGGTCGCTCCTTCCCACGTGGAAACGCAGCTGGGAGCGTCGAGCGACGTCAGTCGGGGGCGATCAGCCGCGTCGCCGCTTAGCGACGCGGGACTTGCAGCCCAGGGGGGGCCCACGGCCGCGCGCCGCGATCTGGCTGCGCGGGTCGAGGGGGCCGAGGGCCAGCGCCGCCTCCGGGCTGTTCGCCGCCGAGCGGCCGAAAGCGACCACCTCCAGACGCGCGACGTCGAGGATTGCCTGCAGCTTGCACTCCTCGCCGCGCTTGCAGAGAGACGCCACGCTCTGCCGCCGTCTGGGCCTTTGCGCTGCGGCAGGCGGCCCGCGCGGCAAGGCGAGGTCGCCGGAGACGCCGCCGCGCCGAAACCGACGCAGACTGGGCCGTGACCGCGCAAGCCCCGGCGCCCCCGCCGCGCTCTCGAATCGAATCACGCGGCTGCGGGGGCTGAGGTCGCAGAGGGGCGCCTCGGAAGTTGGCGCCGCCTTCAGCGCTATCAAGGGCATGAGGGTCCTCGGGTCGAGGTCCCGCAGCGCCGACGGCGCGCGCCTCCGCCGGGCCGTCGAGCTCCGCGTAGCCCGCGGCAACGGCGCGCGCGCGGCCCGCCCCAGCCCCAGCAACCTGCGGCCGAGCGCTGCGGGCTCATGAACAGCGCGAGGATGCCGCCCAGCGACGCAAGTTTTGGCCGCGCGCGACCCTGCCCCCGGCAGAAGCCCGCGACCTGGCGCGGCGCCAACGCGCGCGGCATCTCGGTAGAGGGCCAGAGCGCCAGCCGTTTCAGCGCGCACAGCCCGCCCAGGCTTGGCTGGTGGCCCACTGCCTCTCGGGCGGCTCGGCTCCTGTGCAGCATCGGCGACGAGGGGGCCAGACGGCCGGAGGGCGGCGCGGCGTGTCCGCGCGGCGCGGGCCGACAGGGCGCAGCTCGGCCGCCCCAGCGCGCATCCCATCGCGATGCTCGCAGCCACCTGCCCCGGGGGGATACGGCTTGGAAGGGCCGCGAGCGCCAGCAAACAAGCCCAAGTGGCCACGAGACAACGCAACAGCAACATTCCACTCTGAGGGTGCCCATCCGACAACGAATCTAAAACTAGTGCAAAGGCTGAAGCAACGCAGTTTTCGGGAAACCCGTCGTGGATGCAAGGTGTTGACCCCCCCTTGGCCTTCGCTAGGGCCAGTGGGGGGCTGCCCGCGCAGATCACACGACGAGCCCCCGAGTTGCTGGTGCGCCTGACATGCGTATGGCGGCTAGCAGTAAAGCGCCACCCAATCGAGGCACAGGGTGTTGGCCTCGCCCAAGACCTCAGCATCCAGGATAGGAGACCATGAGCCCTCCTCACAAATTCACTGGGGCACCCTGCTGGAGGCCCTGGCCCACTGCAAGATGCAACTCGCGCCCTGAGAGAGCGGGACTTCGGCGGGCAGGCGGTTGGCACCAGGATGCTCGATGGGCCCCGAAACGCGCACATCCGTGGAGCAGGAGGGGGAGGTGGAGTGGGCAGACTGTCTCGCCTTGGCGCGGCCTTCAACCTTGAACCTCCACTTTTCGGAACAATGGCCGATCGGCCCGACGGCGTCCGCGCCCAGTAGACGCGAACACGCGCCGACGCCAAGCTCGGAGGCGTCGGAAGCCCAAACTTGTTTGCTCCACGGGGCGGATTGGTCTGAGGACAGGAGCGGCAGCGCGCCACGACTCCACCTTAGTATCCCGGGCACGCCGGGCCAAGGGCGAATCGGCAGGGCGCCCGCGGATCGCCGACAGACCTGCACGTCCGCGAACGGCGCCAATCATTCTCAGCGGATCAGGCCCGCCCGCGCGAGCTGTCCGATCTGGATATCCCAGAACTTCCCAATGGCACGACGTCTATGAATGACCGCATCCACTGCCCGTCGGAGACGCCGCGCGGCGCGACGACGAAAAGAGAGCCGCCAACATGGAACGAGCTCCACGCCCAGAAACTCGAAATGCTCTCCCGCCAGGGCCTTTCTACGCCGAACGATTGAACGCGAAACCTTTGCCGACGCACGTAGCCGCGACGCACGAGCGCTCACCCTGGCGGACCCTGTCCTGAAGGAACCCAGCGATCACCAGGCCGTTGACAGACGCTGCCTAAACAAGACGTGCTACCCAGGAACAACTCATAGGAAGCGCATATACTTCAGGGGTAGCTACTCGAGACCGACGATGCGGCGGGCTGACCCTCGCGAGCGGATGCACCAATATAGCCAGCATATGCGCCAGGCAAGGGGGGGGGGGAGGGTCGCGCAGCTCATCGGGCAAGCCTATCCCATATAAACAGTCGTCGACATCACCACCTGACGCGCGCGCGCCTTCTGCCCCGGTTTCAACGGCGGCCCCCCGCGGCAGAGGTGTGGGGTCCCATTCAGAGAAGTCCCGTGCAAAATGTGAACTTGCCCTGCGCCGATAATCGATCTGAGGGCGCGGATTTCCTAGCAAGGAAGATGATGGCCAAAAGGGCGCGCGCCTTGAAGGAGCGCCGAAAAGATCGCGCCCCTCGGAGCGAGGCCTTCGGCAAGTCAGCGTAGCAGTAGGGCCTGCCAGCGAGGGCCCCGTCAAGCCAGGGCCCCACAGGGGTGCCTCTGCCACCGGGCATGCGGCCTCGATCTCCGATCTGAGCAGACTGTTAAACGCAGGCTGCAAGTTCCAGCCATTCCCCGCCACCCGGGGCCAGCAGGTGCATGAAGGACGCGGGCTTGCCAGACCGCAGGCGTGGACGCGCGCGCCTTGACACAGGGCCCAGTACTGGAGGGCTCCTCGCGGCGCGGGCCGCCAGCGGCGCGGTGCTCGGCGAGGGCGCCCGCCCCTATGGGCGCCTCCTCAGGGGGGGGGGCCCTCTCGCGAGAACTCGGGCTCCACGCGGGCAAGCGAGACCCCTTGAGCAGCGCTGGCCGGCTGGGGCGGCTGCT